GTGTGTGTGTGTGTGTGTGTGTGTGTATGGTCTTCTATGTGCAAGTGCATGCTTATGCATGTGGGGATATGTATCTGTCTGCGTACCAATTCAAGTATATACAGATGCATGTGCATGTGCAGGTGTGTGTGTGTATGTGTGTTTCTGTGTGTGCCAACACAAGTCCATGTGAAGTCAGAGGACAATCTCAGCTGTAGTTTTTGGTTGTTATTGTTTTTACATCAGGACTTTTAGCAGCCTGAAACTCACTAAGTAAACTAGGCTAGCTGGCCAGAGATTCCCACTGATCTACCTGTTTCATCCATGAAGTTCTGGGATCATAATCACATACCATCACACCAATTTTTTTTAAAATATGGGTTTTATGTCTTGTGCATGCAGATTTAGTACTTTTCCATTTGAGAAACTCCATATCTGCTATGCATTTTGAAATCTATTGCTATTACAGTGTTATATAATATGTGGTTATTGTTGTACCTAGTGGTATATGACTAATCTCAGAAATTGTGAGTAAGAGGAGTAGGTTTGACAACTCAAGGTCAGCTTTAGCAATGTATACAAAATTGAAGGCCAGTCTGAATATAAAAATCTGTGTGAAAAAGCAATACGTATATTACAGATACATAATTTTATACAAGCATGTACATGAATCAACAAAATATGGAGATATCATCACTCATATAAATGTGAATAAATATAAAAACATATATACCATAAAATGATGCCTGTTTATAAATAAACTCCAGTCATTAGATTTTATTTACAAGTTTTTGCCAATCTAGAACCCACCCACTTCATTTCAGCTACCAGGTAAGGGCAGGAGCCAAGAATCAATCATATGTTGTCTTGAGGTTGTAATAAGTATACCAACAATTTCTCATGCATGTTTTAGTTCAATATTAAACATTAGGAAATAACTTTTACCAAGTAATCTCAAGTGGGCATGGCTTGTGAAGTAGACTGTCTTTTTTTGCTTTATACATAACTTCCATTTATATTCCCAAAATTATGAGAACAGCTATCTCATCCTTTTTATTCTTCAATGGAATATTATTCTCAATCCTTGCTTGCCTGGCCATGTATACTCTGTCTGGCATTAGAATCTTTCAAAGATCCCTATACCATACAAAATGCAATTTATAGTCTCCCTTTGGTGTTTCTACAGTTTAAACCCAGCTCTTATTTAAAGTTTTATTTTCAATTCACTCACAGAGAACCCTCCACACATGGAGTCCTGTTTCAAGAGGAACTCTATCCACCCTTTGGCCATTTCTTCCTAACCTGAAGTATTCCTCAGCTCAAGGGTTTGCATGTTCCCCAAGCATCTCTTTTCAAAATTGTCTTTATCTCGATTGAAACAATCACTCTAGGTCTCATATTCATGGAGTAAAAATACCAGTCAAGCATCACATTCTGTATTTCCCTCTATTCTCAGACCAACTAACTGTGTATACTTCTAATCCTTGTGGGGAGGATAAGCAACAAAAGGTTGGAAAGAAAACTTGTTGTTCCCTGTTTCTCATAGACATTAAGTTGATATGAATAACCTGGAGGTGAGAAGATCAGTCTGTATTGTAATCATATGATAAAATATTTCTGTATTTTGGAACTTGAACATATATTTGGAGGTATGGGGTGTACTTTTATCTGAATGCATTTGTTTTTTGGTTCTCGATGACTTAAAAGATAATTTCAAACAAAGAGTGTTTACAGATGACCACAGACATCTGAATGTATAATGCCAATCTTCCCTGAGGAGAATGCAGTCTTCTCAGATAGATGGCATGGAAGCAGTGCCAGACTCTGCTTCTATGTATCTGCATTTATAATTCATGGGTCACAGGAATTCAACACAGACAAGGAGCCATCTGCTCAAGGAACCAAGGTGGAAAAGGGAAACGGGACACACCTACACCTGTCATTAGGAGTTGGGGACTCTGGATCCCCATCTTATTTTGACAATAACAATGTTCTTATCAACTTTGCAAACTGGAGAAGAAAAGCAGAATTCCTGGGGATCCCCTTGTGCTGGCAGCTATGAAAGTCATAATTTTAAAATCTTAATTGGAGATAAAGCCATCAGTAAAACTCTTCATATTCCTTTCATCTGACTGACACAGAAGATGGCATCTAAGAGAGAGCAGAGTCTACTCAGAGAATGTGAAGCCCTGCCTATTCCTATTTATCATCTAACTTGACAACACGTGTTGATCAGGTCAGAGGAAGTTAGAGGGAGAGAGAGAGAGATGGAGATGGAGATGGAGATGGAGATGGAGATGGAGATGGAGATGGAGATGGAGATGGAGATGGGGATGGGGATGGAGATGGAGATGGAGATGGAGAGGGGGAGGGCGAGGAGGAGGGGGAAGGGAGATGGAGAGGGAGAGAGAGAGAGAGGGAGAGGGAGAGAGAGAGAGACAGACAGAAAGACAGAGAGAGAGAGAGAGACAAAGAAAGAGAGAGAGACAGAGAGAGAGAGAGAGACATAGAGAGAGAGAAAGAGAGAGAGACACAGAGAGAGACAGAGAGATTGGGAATCAGTTCTTCATTCTGTGTGGTTGGCAAAAACGCTTCTCCATAGTGAACATTAGGTAATCCATGCCTCACTGTTCCAGACTAAAAATTCAATATTTCTAAACAGAACTGGCAATTGGTTTTCAAACCCTATTTAAAATTATCTATTACTTGCTATAATTTGGGACTGTGGAAACCTGAACCATGTCTGTTGCCTGAAGGGATTTGTAACGGGTTCTGAGAGCTACACAGAAGAGCCAAGACATACAACTTTATACCATTTCAGGCCAGGTACCATGAGCACTCCCATATATTTCCTCTGTATTGCGAAGAAACACTGAAGAAATGATCAAAATAGTAAAAAAGCATCTTACCTGGACTCAGGCTTCTACAGCAAGTGTGGCATGTCCAACCTTTACCTGCTCTGAGAGTCCCATTTTAAAGTCTCTCAGCTTTTTTCAGTTAAGTGATGATTAACTATCTCTTCAGGTCACTGTCCTACACAAATAGAAAAAAAAAAGAAACAGAAAAAAAAGAAAGAAAGAAGCAAACAAAGATCTAGGTAGGAATTCAATTTGCTCCAGGCACCTTTGTTTTAAAGATAGTTTTAAAACTTCTCAGAATGTATACATTATATTTTTATACACTGTATTATTCTAGTGCTAAAACAAGTTTTGATTTTAGACGCAGCTTGAAGCTTTCATCCAATGGTTCTTGTTGCACATTAGTTTCTTTGAGAATACAAACACTACATATTACCCCCGGCACTTAAATCTCTTCTCAATGGAAAAGAACTCAGTGTGATTCTGATAAAGAATCCAGGTCATTTCATGTCCAAAAGAAAATCGACACTTGCTCATAATCTGGGTAGAATTCTTAAAAATATATTATTTAATTATAAAATTATTTTATCATAATGATCTCAAAAAATTAAAACACCACACAGTTCTATTAAGGAAACCTCTGAAATAACCACTGTACTTATTTTTTACAAAAGGATTTTTTTTCATGATGATACAGTGTTGGCATGTTGGAAGGCCAATGGTTTTTACATTGATTTTTAAATCCTGAGTCTCTATTTTAGGTGCTGATCAGATCTATGGGTTGCCTAGTAGACTCCAGAGGGTCTTAAATCATGCCATCTGTAATAGAAATGATTTGACAGTTTCCTTTCCCAGTTTCTTTTATTTAAAGACTTCCACTTGCCCAATTGCTATAGCTAAGGCTTTGTCAAATATATTGAATAAGAGAAGGCAGAGTAGGGCTCTTACTCTTGTGACTGATTGTAGAGGAAACACTAGCAGTTTGTTTCCATTTAATTTAATGTTGGCTCTAGTTTTCTGTCTTTAGCCTTCATTGTTCTGAGGCATACTTCATCTGCTGTGTCCCGCACAATTATCTCACCAGCGAATGCACACGGACACCAGGATCCTTCTGCAGCAATTCTTTATTACAATGTGAAGAGGAAGACCCCGGGCCCCGAAAAGGCACTGTTTATATACACCCTGGAGCGGCGTGTATATTTCTGGTTGGCTGCTTGCTCAGGAGTGCATATTATGCCCCGGGATGGGCCGTGATTTGGCGTGCATTTTCCACTTCCACAATGGACAGCTTATCTATAAACTTGGGAGAGCACCGGATGCCAGAGCCATCTTATAACTGCGAATACTGTCACCACTCACCACGGCTCTCCACATCTCCCTCTTTTTGTTTTAATAAGAATCACAGGCACTGGCCAATGCCCCATGTCTTAGGCTAGCTGACATGAATCCATAACCAGCACCAATGAAAGGTGAGTTCCCTGTCTTAGGCAGCGAGGGTTGCGCACCCACACCTGGCATTCTCTGAATGTGCGCCCCAGGTTGTGGCCACTTGCAAGGCCCATCATGGGGTGGACTCACAGCTAGTGGTGTGCTTCTGGCTTATGGCGTCAACCTATTCCCGTCGTTGGGACCAATGGCAGCTGGCCCGGAGGCGTAGTAGTATCTGTCAGCACAGTCTTCCCCACCCTACCAGGTGCAATGGACATAAGTCCTCTGGGTACAAGGGCTAAGGGAGACAGAAAGAGATGCAAACACCCATCCCTGTGCAATGGAGCCATCTCCCAGGGGTGCAAGGGCTGTTTGCCTCAATATTCAGGTACCAGAGCTACACAGACAAGGACCAGCCAGGCCAAGACCCCTCACCAACCCAGTGCAATGGGCTGATCCCTTGGTGTGCAATGGCTGAGGGATGTTTGCTGCCTATTTCCATAACATAGACAACCAGATTTAGGGAGATGAACCTTGTTCTAGGGCCACAAGTGCTTGGGCAATAACGACCTTGTCACATTTCTGTTGACCTCTGAGCTTGCAAACCAACCAGAGTATGAACACTAATCCGCAACACAGGGCTGTACCAAACAGGCCTACTCCCACCCACTCTTTAAAGAAGGAGAAGACCGAAGAAATCCAGGAGGAGAGTCCTTCAGTCAGTGAAAGGTCCACACGCGTTGAGTTGATGGCCGCCACCGCTGCTCGCAACTTCTCGAGAAGTTCATCAAATCCTTCTGACCATTTTCCTGCTAGGTAACGAGACAATTGTCTGGACAAATTAGCTGCTCGAGTAAAGTTTTCATATTGAACACTAATAATACAGAGGGCTCCCAGATTTCTTTCACATCCCAATTGTGCCAGCTGAAAGAGAATATCTAACTTTTCTTCTACCAAATCTAGGCGCTGATTAACAATCATCAATCCGCCTTTCAATTGAGCACTCATAGAAGTATGGAGGTTGACCGCCTCTGTCACTGTAGCAGATAGCTGATTCAAGGTTGTACCTGTCTGGACCGAGGTTGCCATAGTGATCCCAGCAGCCATAGCTGCAACTGCGCTAATGGAAATTGCCATTACAGTAGCCGCAGTTATCCCAAAATCTCTTTTTTGTCTGAATAATGATAGGGTAGAAGGGGTTTCAACAGGAACAGGGACCCATCGTGGTACCCTGGCAACCATGGCACGCTTAGCTTGTCCAACAGCCCAACACTGAGACATCATGCATGAATCATTGGTGCAGTTTTCAAATGAGGAATTTGAAAAAATAAACAGGAAGGGGGGAAAGACACACACTGGGGTAGGTGAAAATGCCGTTTGATTTACAATAGTCTTGCTAACTCTAGTAATTAACTGAGAAGCATTTGTCAACCGAGGGGCCTGATCTGAACCCTGTTTCACCATAGTTCCATTAATAATTCCCGTAAAGGATGTCCTTCCTGCCACTCCGCCCTGGAGAAAGGCTAGGGAGTTGAGGTCAGTACAACTGCCATTAATCCCACAAAGTAGCCATTTGTGGAAGGGATTCATACCATGGCCCTGTAGAAAAGGGCCCTCTCTCATCACCGCACTAGCTCCAGGATCCACCAACATATTGGGTGAAAAGGAAAGGGTTTCATTGGTATCTGCCCATCGTGTTACTCTGGATTGACAATCAGACCAGGGCAGAACAACTCCCTCATCTTCTTGACTACAAAAGGGGGAGACCTTAGGTTGATGGGGATGCTCCCCATCAGTAAAGTCGGGTGACAAAAATGTTCCATTTCTCCAAATGGCTGGTTGCAAACAGGACTGTGAGAACTCATTGACATAACTATTATTCTTTTCATTATTATTCTTTTTAGTTGTTAATTTAACCCAGCTTCTCTTGTCATAAAACCACCCCAAGGCTCTCTTCGAGAGAGTTATACAGTTTCCTGTCTCAGTAATCTGAAAGCAGAGAGAGAGCCCAGTTCAGGTAAGGAGTGATTTCCCCCAGGGGGGCGTGGTTTTATCATAGGGAAGATAAGGTAACCCCATGGTTTTATTGGTTGTAAGAAATCTTGGAAACACCATGGCATCATGTCTAGCAGGTATGGGTTTAGGAAAGGCAGATAATATAGCCCATCGTTGTTCCCCCCATATACTAGGAACCCAAATCTGGAGGATCCAAATTAGGACTAGAAGCATCTTTCAGGGGGTCATCTTCAGTTGCCATGAGTCGTCGTGTCAGTCGCTCTGGTAGCCAAAATGGATTGTCTTCTTCCTGCAGAAAAACACAATCAGCTCCCCTGGATCTTATTAAAATAGGATCCGGGCCTTTCCATTGGCCAGTCAAGACATCCTTCCACTTGACTATCTCCTTTGGCCTATCAGGCTCTAAGCAATGACAGTCAGCAGCCGAATGGCCCTGACTGTCCAAATTTAAAAAATTAAGAGTAAAGAGTGCTATAGAAACGGTTACTCGTGGCACTAAGGGTAGAGCCTCCTCGACTCCCCCTTTTTGTTTTATTAGATAAGATTTTAGAGTTCGATGAGCCTGTTCTATGATGCCTTGTCCTTGAGGATTGTATGGAAGGCCCATCAGGTGGGTCACCTACATTTGGCGACAAAATTGTCCAAACTTTTGAGAAGTATAAGCTGGTCCATTATCAGTCTTGAGAATTTTAGGATTTCCCCAGGCACTCCAGGCCTCAAGGCAATGTTGGATAACATGTGCTGCCTTTTCTCCCAATGAGGGGGAGGCAAAAATGATTCCAGAACAGGTGTCAAAAGAAACATGTAAATACTTAAGTCTCCCAAAGGATGGAATATGGGTAACATCCATTTGCCAAATCTGCAATGGTCGAATTCCTCGTGGATTAATTCTCACGGGTAATGAGGAACGGGTAAAAATTGACAGCAATTCTGACATTGACTATATCTCTAGCTTCTTTTCTAGTTATATCAAATCGACGACGTAATGTCCCTGCTGTCACATGAAATTTTTTATGAAAATCTTTGGCCGAATCCAATTTTGAGGATAGGGCGATAGCAACCAATTTTGTGGCTCGATCCACCAGGTCATTTCCATGAGACATTGGACCTGGTAGACCTGAGTGAGCCCTAATATGTGTAATAAAAACAGGATATCTTCTATTGACCAAGGTAGATTGAATCTTTTGAAAAACTTCTACAAGCCTGCTAGAGGGCCGAATTAATCCAGCAACTTCCAAGACTTTAACTGCATTTACCACATAAAGGGAATCAGATACAATATTTAAGGGGCCTGGAAAGGTTTCTAAGACTTCCAGTACCACCACGCATTCCAAAATTTGAGGTGAAGTTTCATTATATTGTTTAGATGTAACTCTATCATCAACCACATAAGTGCCTTCTCCTGTTTTTGACCCATCCGTATATACCACTACCCCATCTGGGAGTGGTTCTTGAGATAAAATACATGGGAAAACAACAGCCTGACTCAAGGCAAATTGTAAAATAGGATGTTTAGGATAATGATTATCTATTTGGCCATTAAAGGAAGTGACTAACACCGCCCAAACATAGGAGGTAGCAGTTAATATTTGAACCTGATGTGCAGTGTAAGGTACTATCAAAACCTTAGGCTCCTTTCCAAAATGAGTAATAGCTGCTTTTAATCCCCGAAGGGCAAGCTGAGCAA